ATAACATAAAACAATCAACTGAGCTCCAAGTTGAGGGCCTTATACTTGATTACAGGCTTGACCCACTTGGAGCCTTTCTGTCTGTCTGAGCTTTCTGTTACTGTAACAAATACCAAGATAAGTTAAAGAGAGAAAAATATGTTTTAAGTTCCGTTTTAGAGGTTGCTGCTGGCAGGACTGCTGGACCTGCTGCTTTGTAGGCCTCAGGCAGGAAGTGCGGCACCTGGTGGACAGCACCTCCTGACAGGCACACATCCCAGCACAGCCTTCACCTCGCAGCTGGGTCTTGAAAGAGGATGAGATGGAGTCTCACAGTCCCCTCCAAGAATGCATCCCACTAATCCTAAACTTCCCTCGAGGTCCCCTCTAAAATTGCCATCACCCTCAGAGCACGCCCCACCAGGCTGGGATCAAGCCTTCAAGACGTGGGTGACACTGCGGACCCAAGTGGCAGCGCCCTCTCTCTTTCCCAGCATGTCGTCCTGCTGGGGTCCCCTCTGCCTGCCGAGCCCCCACTCACCCTCCGCAGGCGCCATTTCTTGTACCTTCAGTCTCCTTCCCCCAGCTGCATGTTCTGTGGCGATGATCTAATGTCTCCTGCAAACACCCTTGGCCCCAGGGCCCTGACAACAACTGTTCCTCTCCTGCAGCCAAGTACCTTGAGAGCGAGCTGCTGCGTTCCCTGCGTTTCTAGTAAGCGGTGTTGTGCTAATTCATATTCCAGAGCCCCTGGGGACGTGCTACTCCCCAAGACCCATGGCTCGCTGTATTCCTCCCCTCAGCCTCAGACCCTACTAACAGGGAACAGCATTAATCAGGCTCTGAGTGGAGCATCTGAGACATCAAAGCCGCGTAGCCCAGCCGACTGTCTTCAGGGAAAGAAAAAATTGTGAAGAAGCCAAAGCTTTTGGATGGCTATTGTTGTTCTGGGGTCCCATAGCAGAGTTGCTCACGCCCCAACATGTTACACGGTAAGAGACACATTGTCATCAATTCCCCCTCAAAGCCTTCGCCCTTGCTTCTGACACACTTATCCCATCATCCTTGCCACTTTGTTTTACTTTGGCTTTCTGTACCAGGACTTGAACTCATGACCTTGCACTTGCCAGGCAAGTGCTGTGCCACTGAACTATATCCCCGGCTCTCCTTGCCTCTTTCTAAAGCACGTCTGGAGTGTCTAGCTGAGGTGTCATGGCCGCCTCAATGTCCTGCATTGATTCAGAACGCTGACCTTTGGAGTGCTGACGTCATTTCCTGCCACAGGAAAGATGAATGGGAGGGCTTATTTTCCAGAGTTCCACCTGGCATGGTGGCGCAGGCCTGTAATCCCAGCATTCCGGAGGCTGAGGCAGGAGGATCATTGAGAGTTCGAGACCAGCCTGGGCTACAAAGTGAGCTCAAGGCTAGCCTGAACTGCATGGCGAGACTGTCTCAAAAAGACGACAAAAAAAAAAATAAAAAAACAGATTTCCACCAAGACCAATTCCTCTGCTAGGGGCTGACTACATTCCAGCACAGGAAGGAAGAAGAATGTTCCCAGAATGCAATGATGAATGCTTCTGGCTCAGGTCTATGCTCTTGGGGACAAGTATGTTGATTACTCAAGGACTACTGAATGCTAGTAGAGTAAAGGAATCATTTCAAGTCATCCAGACTTGCTTCCATCCCTAAACTTACATTTGCTTGTACATTGGGATACTTTGCTGGAAAACTATATTATGGGAGAACGTGCCAAGAAAAGTTCAAGAATCTCAAAACTTTCCCTCTTGGAAAAGCTTTACAATCCAGATAATCTTCACTCCCCAGACAGCATTCTAAAAAGTCAAAATATGACTCAGATGTGAGAGACCAGTCCTTTCTGGTGACATCCCCAGCAGCAGACAGTATAGAAAGGAGATTTATTCCTCATTATGAGGCAGTTCCATTCTACACTTCTCACTGATGTTACTGATCTTATGACCTGAGGTAGACACTTCTCTTGAAATGAATTTCAACATTTTATGGTCAATGTCTGTATAACCTTACGCTCTTTTCTGCCAGATGTCACCTGTATCTTCTACCACCAGCTATCAACCTAAACTCATCCATCAGCCTAACTCGGCATGTTTGTTCCTTTCATTCATTTGTTTCTTTGTTCATTTAATATTCCTTGAGGACCAGTAGGTGTCAGATAAATGCGGAAGAAGTGAAGATGAATAAGACTTACTTTTTGGGCTGGGGTATAGCTCAGTGGCACGACGCCTGCCTAGCAAGCACAAGATCTTTTTTTTTTTTTTTTTTCTTTTTGAGACAGGGTCTTGCTGTGCAGTTCAGGCTGGCCTTGAGCTCACTTTGTAGCCCAGGCTGGTCTCGAACTCACAATGATCCTCCTGCCTCAGCCTCCCGAATGCTGGGATTACAGGCTGACACCACCACACCTGGCTTAAACGCAAGATCTTGAGTTCGATTCCGGGTTCATAAAAAAAACTTCCTTCTTCTCTGTGAGAAACTGTCTCTTCGAAGATATGGAAATATAAGGATAAATTACTGATAGGTTCCAGTAATTGAAAATATTCACACAAGTTTAGGGGACTATGAAGAAGTGATAAATTGTGCTTCCAGAAGTAGAGGCTTCAACAAGATGTAAGGTTACATTTGATAAGCTGGCCTTACAGGCACTCAGCTTCCTTGCCCATAATGTGCAAAGAAAATTTTCCTTCCCTGGAGAGCTGCTGTCAAACAAGTGCGGGGATACTTGGGATGAGCGAAGAATCCTACCATTGGACACGCTGAAGGAGTTTCCCCCTCCAGCTTCATTTAGGTGATCGTGAAATACCTGCATGCTCTGAGCTCAGCAGCAGTCTGCATAAACACTCTTTAAACTCTGGGGCTTTATGGTTTGACTTATTGTGATGTTTAAATAACTGGTTTTAGTGCTAACATCATGTAAATGCACTCACCTTGGGGAACTCCGTGCATGATGGTATTATAGCATGATTGTGTACCGTCTGTGACTGTAAGCTTATAAATTAAATTATAAGACAAAGATACTCCTCTAACAGTATTAAGAAACTGTGATGTTCTAGAATCAGCTTATATGAAGACAAATGATGTCTGAAATGGGGTGGGTGGGAGGAGCAAGCATCATTTTAAGTGTTCAGCTTTGCATCATTAAAAGCCTTTCTCTAGTATTTGCTGTATTATCTTAATGTTTATGGTAAATAAAATGTAAAGGAAGATGAAAAAGAGTTGACCTGTCATGGTCACTTTGACTTTGGGGAAGAGGCAGGAGTCAGAGACCTGGGGATTTAGCTCAGCGGCACAGTGCCTGCCTGGCAAGCACAACGTTGTGAGTTCAATTCCCGATACCAGAAAAAAAAAAAAAAAAAAAAAGGATGAATTACTGATAGGTTCCAGTAATTGAAAATATTCAATTTTAGTCAACAGGGTGGAGGAGGACACAACCTGTCCACTAGATGGCAGGCCGCAGCAGCAGTCACTGGTTTTGTTTTTTGTCTTTGTGAGACAGGGTCTAGCTATGCACTTCAGGCTGGCCTTGAGCTCACTTTGTAGCCCAGGCTGGCCTCAAACTCGTTGGCAATCCTCCTGCCTCAGGCTCCCAAGTGCTGAGACTACAGGCATGCGCCACCACGCCCGGCTAGTCACTGTATTTGTTATCACACCTCATAAAGACACTCAGGAAGGAGGACTCCCAGAACTGCTTCAGAAAGTGGCAAGACGCCAGCGGGAGCATTTTGAGGGGGCTAACACCAATGTGTCTTTTACCGTAATAAATTTTTAAAATTTATGGCTTTTTTGTGCAGATTAGAAAGAGATGCCCCCTCCTGCCGGTGGACCCAGCAGGGATGGAGGAGCGGCTCCACCGCAGGCGCTGCGTCAGACAAGCGGGGAGGAGAATGGCAGAGTCCTCATCACCTGCCTTTTATACAGGGGGAAACGGAAGCCCAGAGAGCGGGGTCGACTTGCTCAAGGCTACACAGCGAGGCAGGGATAAAGAAAACGTAGAGCTCCGGTCTCCCGCAGCCCAGGGCTCATCCCGATGTGTGATAAGCAGCGGCTCCGCGGCCCGATAGAAGGAGAGCGGGCTTCCTTCCCGGGCACAGAGCGGGCTCGGGCGCAGACTCAGCCCAGAGGGACTTCGCCCTCGGAGTCCGGTGCCTGTTCTGAGTACTCCCGAGGGTGACGGCTGAAGGTGGGCAAATACGGAGGAGATGACTCAGAAACACAGGGCCACCGCTTTCTTATACCCAGAGCAGCGGGTCTCTAACTTCACTGTGCACCAGGATAAAGGACAGATCCACTCCCCAAAGTTTTGGATTGACAGGGTCAGAGGTGGGCCTGAGGATATGCGTGCCCCGCAACTTAGCAGGGATGCTAAGGTCGCTGTGCCGGAAGCCTTGCTCTGAGAACCACTCAGCTCGAAAAATGGTCAGCCCACTCTTTCCTCCCTCCTTTTTTTCTTTTTTATTGTGTTTGTTTGGGTTTTTGAGGCAAGGTTTCGCTATATGCCCAGGCTGGCTTCGAACTCGCGGCGATCTGAGAGCGAAGGCTCTGGTTCCAACCCGGTCCGCGTGACCCGGGGCAGGCGCCTCCCCTCCCGGGCCCATGCTGAGGCGGTGGCCGACACCAGCGCCGCCCCAGCCGGCACCGAACGCCAGACTCTGCGCACCATGTGTGCAGGCGCTGGGACGCGGGCCCTGGCGCTCCGCGCAGCTCCTCATCCGCGCCCTGCCCCTCCAGCAGGGGTCCTGCGGGGACAGAAGCAGGGACGGGACCCCGCGCGCGGGCCCGGGGCTGCGGTCCAGCAGGGGGCGCCGGAGAGCGGTCGAGGCCGACCAGGCCGCGGGCGGGGTGGGGGCGGCTGGGGGGGTCCTGCGGGGACAGAAGCAGGGACGGGACCCCGCGCGCGGGCCCGGGGCTGCGGTCCAGCAGGGGGCGCCGGAGAGCGGTCGAGGCCGACCAGGCCGCGGGCGGGGTGGGGGCGGCTGGGCGGGGACACCCGGGGCATAAATAGTCGCGGCCGAGCGGAGAGGACAGGAGGCGTCCTGGCCGCGGACTCGCCCGGACCGACCCGACCCGACCCCCGCGACGCCTGCAAGCCTGCCGCCCACATTTGCTATGCGGGGCGCCCTTGAGGCTCTGTGGCTGCTCCTGTGCCTGCGCGCTGGTGAGGCTGCCGGCGGGGGCCTCGGGGGCCCTGGGTCCTGAGCGGGGAAGGCGTGAGGACAGCAGGGTGACCCTGGCCGCGACGTCCCGAGGGCTTCCTGGAGGAGGCGGCCCGCGCCGGGCCTTGGAGCAGGGGCGCCGGCTGTGGCGGGGTGGGGAGAGCCTTGAGGTGTCGGGGAGAACCCCGGAGGGAGCTGCTCCTGACGGGAAACCCAAAGCAGGTCTGTTCCCCCACGCAAGACTCGTCCCAAGGATGGGGGCACAGGCGAGCAGAGCACAGGGCTGGGTCTCCATGGCGGCACCCACAGAGGTCACGGGGTGGGCCGGGTTGAGAGCAAGGGCAGGAAGGACAGGAAGGAGTCGCCACTGGGCCTTGGGAAAAGCGATGGTCTTCGACCCCCGTGGGGGATGAGTGTCACAAGTACATGGGAGGAGAGTGGCCCTGGGGACCTCAGGGGACCCCAAGCCAGGAAATTAGGGCCCCAGTGAAAGTCTTCCAGGGACCCCCGAGTCTCAGGCTCCCATCCAGCCCTGATGCTGTGGCTTCTTCCTGTGCGTTCTTAGAAACAGGTCCAGGGGGGTCAGTCAAGGGCCGGGAGGCACCTGCTAGAGAGGCAGGAGCTTGACCCCAACCAGCCTCCCCCGTGTGCCCTGGAACCGGCCCTGTGCCCGCTGAGTGGGGCTTACAACACGTAGATCACAGGCCCTGGGCCACCTCCGTCCCATGTCCCAGTTCGTGAGGAGGCCCCAGGCCCCTGCAAGGAGGACCCTGGGTCCTGTCTTTGTCGCTCCATAGAGGGCAGGAGCTCGCTGACTCCCCAGCCAGCGCTCCGAACTCCCTCCAGCTCCACCCCAGGCAGAGGAAACTGGTGCGGAACTCTGAAGCCCGTCCACTCCTCTGTGATGGCCAGGTTCTGAGCCACGCCACCGGCCCGTGGCCATGTCCCAGGTCAGGGGCCCAGCACAGCTTTGCCCAGGCTCGGTGCCTGCCCGGGGCAGGCTGTGCAAGCCAATGGGGTCGCATAGAGCTGCCAGAGCCACCCTCTCCAGCAGCCACCGGCTGGGTGAGTGGGGGACCTGCGCCTCACCGTCCCTGTGGTCTCCAGCACTCTTCGGGGAGCAGGTGACGGAGGTGCGCTGGTGCACCATCTCCGATGCGGAGCAGCTGAAGTGTGAGAACATGAGCAAGGCCTTCCGGGAAGCGCGCATCCAGCCCTTCATTGCCTGCGTCCAGGGCACCTCAGGCCTGCACTGCATGCAGCTCATCTCGGTGAGGCCTTACCCTTCCGCCCTGCTGCCCGCCACCCTCCTAGACCAGAGGGCTCTGGGTGAGGAGCAGCGTGTGACAGCCCCCTTCAGCAACAGCGAGGGCTGGGCGACAGAGACAAGGGCTGGCTCTCAGGAGGCAGTGATTCCCCGGGGCCGGAGCCACCAGCTGGAGGGTTCGGGGTTTCTGAGCAGGGCAGGTGGGTGGGGGTGCAGTTGTGAGTATCATGAGGTCCCAACCTGGCTCCACCCACCTCCAAGGCCAGGCAGGACAGCAAAGAACCGGTGCCAGGGCCGGTGCTACGAGACATGGCAGCTTGGCCCCAAGGTGCCCAGGACCTGACCCAATCCCAGGCCAGGACAGAAACCAACTGTGCTGAGCTCTGACTTTTTTTTTTTTGGTCTTTTTGAGATGGACTTGCTAGGCATTCAGGCTGGCCTTGAGCTCACTTTGTAGCCCAGGCTGGCCTCAAACTCACAACGATCCTGCTGCCTCAGCCTCCCGAGTGCTGGGGTTACAGGCGTGTGCCACCACTACCATTTGTATTTAAAATAAATGAAAGTGGACACTACAGGATTCAGTCTGCACAGCCTTTCCTAGAGGGAAACCCAAGAAAGCCCAGTGTAGCAGTCCACAGAGACAAGGAAAGCGGGAAACCCACTTCTCACTGTATACCAGGCCTTGCTATCGGATTTTCCTTTTTACTCTGCACATCTGGATCCTGTAAAAGTAATCTGGGGCTGGGGATTTAGCTCAGCGGCACAGCACCTGCCTGGCAAGTGCAAGGTCATGAATTCAATTCCTGATGGGGTGGGGGGAAGTAGCATAGTTCCTGCGGCAAGGTGAGTTCTGGGCCTGTTAATGGGGCAGGGTCCTGGGCCCTTCAGGACTGCAGCAGGTGGCATGGGTGGCTCGGCAAAGCCCTGTGCTTTCTGGCGGCGTCACCGACGTCTCCCCGCAGGGCCCGGGGCCCCTGGCTGGGCTGATGCTGGGTTTCTTCCAGGCCCGGAAGGCCGACGCCATCACCCTGGATGGAGAAGCCATTTACGAAGCGGGGAGGGAGCACGGCCTGAAGCCTGTGGTGGGCGAGCTGTACGACGGCGGTAAGAGGCACCTGCAGACCGCGGGGCCGCCCTGGAGCCCTGTCCTGGAGCCTCAGGCCCGAAAGCCCTCTGAGTCCCCCTAGGTCCCTGAAACCTGAAACCAGTTAGGGGGCTCACCGCTCGCTTCCTGCCGCCTCCGGTGTGGAGCCCAGGGCCGGGTATCAGCAGCGCCCACCTCCTGCCTCTCTGTCAGAGGCCACGGGATGAGAACGGGGTGGGGGTCAGGCGGTACCCAAAGCTGCAGGGCCAGCAGACGGGGAACACAGGCAGCTGTGGGCCTGGTACACGCGGGCCGCCTGGGAGAAGCAGTCGCCGGCCACAAGTTGAGTTAGTGATTGTCCCGCCGCAAGGAACAGTCCAGCTCTGCCCACCAGGCGGCCTTTCCCCTAAAAAGGCCAGTGACTGTCCTGTTTCATGGGCCTGAAGTGCGGTTCTGCCTCTTTGTTTAATTCAGCCCCACTATTGAGCACAGAGTAAGCAAGAGACCCCCGTCTCTGCCTCAGAGAGCAGAAGTCAGATTGCGAACAAATACACACCCAAACTACAGAATTAGAAAGAAAAGGGGGGCTGAGCCAAAGGCGGCCCCAGAGGACCAATCCGCTTAGGTTGGCAGGGGCCAGCACCAGCTGCATGAGAATGGCACTGCCCAGTGCCCACCTTCACCCCCCACAACAAGGCTGGCAGCTTTATTCCCCTCCTTTCCCAGAGGTTGGGACCTCCTATTATGCTGTGGCTGTGGTCCGGAAGAACTCCTCTATAACCATCAACACCCTGAAGGGCGTGAAATCCTGCCACACGGGCCTCCAGCGGACAGCGGGCTGGAACGTGCCCGTGGGCTTCCTGGTGGAGACCGGCCGCCTCTCAGTGATGGGCTGTGACGTGCTCACAGGTGAGGACCTCAGGCTGGCACGGGACCACCCTCCTTTCCTCTGCCCCTGCTGTCTCTTCACCTGGGGGTGCCCTCCGGCAGCCTCACTTCCTCCTGCACCCCACTAAGAAGACCCCGAGTCTCACCTCCTCCGAGGGTCTCTCTGACACCCTGGGGGGTGGGCACTTCCTCCACCCTGTGGGCCCCTGCAGAGAGTGGCTCATGCTCCTGGTCAACGTGTCCACGTGACACAGCCAGGTAGGGGCCCCACGCAGGAGCGGCTCCCACAGGTACAAACCTGATGCAGGTCACAGGGTCCAGAGCGGGTCCTTAGCTTTGCACCTTCAGAAATCCACAGAGACCCAAACAAGCTGCTGACTTGCATCCAGAAAGTCCGCACACGGCCAGCGAGCCCGCCAGCCGTGTAGACCAGCAGGAGTCCCAAGAGCCTGCGTCACAGCCCGCTGGCCTCGGTCCCGAGGTGCATTGCAAACTGCCCTCAGGGACACAGAGAGAAGGGGAGACGGGTCGTCCCAGGCAGGTGATGAGCAGGCAGGGCTGGGCCAGCTTGGGGCCGTGGCAGCAGCAGGGCGTCCCCCCCAGCCCAGACAAACAGGAGCGAGGCAGGTGCACTGCGCCCCGGAGAAACCGTGCAAGTCACGGGTGTGACCTCACACCAGGGCTCCTTCTCCTCCGGTCCTCTCTCTGCTCATCAAGTAGCAGCCCCTCGCTCAGCCACACAGTGCTGACTTGGAAATGAGCCCCAGGCTGGGCCCCGCACCCAGGTGCCCTGTAGTTGTCCTCACCTCCCCGTCAGCTCCCTGAGCAGTTCGGCAGCTGACCTGCCCAGTTGCTCGTTGCCACTCTCAGGGCCCCAGTTTTGGAATCGCCTGTCTGATTCGGTTCCCCAGACTGAAGTTACCAGGTGACCAGATTCTCAGAAGTGCCCAGCTGGGGGTGGTGCTGGGCGGGGTAATCCCAACACTTAGGAGGCAGAGGCAGGAGGATCCCTGGGAGTTTGAAGGCAGACCGGGCTACACAGTCAGACTGGACTACATCGTCAGTCCCTGTCTCAGAAAACAAAACAACAACACAACAAGCACCCAGACAGGTCCCTGCCGAGCCCGGGCTCCCGCTGACTCTAGGGGTCTGGAGAAAGTGATGCCGAGTGATCGCTCTCTGCCTCTTTCCCACAGCTGTCAGTGAGTTTTTTGGGGGCAGCTGCGTCCCTGGTGCAGGAGAGACCAACCACTCGCTGTCCCTCTGCCGTGCCTGCAGGGGTGATGGCTCTGGGAAGCGGGTGTGTGACAACAGCCCCCTGGAGAGATACTACGGCTACAGCGGGGCCTTCCGGTAGGGAAGCCGGCGGCGCAGAGAGGCCGCAGTGGTGGGGCGGGCTTTGTGGCGTCACAGCGCCCTTCGTTCTGTGGCCACGTGACTTTACCAACCCCGAGGGCGCCGGGCTGCTTAGTGCAGTCAAAGGAGGGACAGTGATGCGAGAAGACAGCAGTGCTTTGGCCACTGCAGGCCCCGCTCTGGTGTCGGGTGGGGTGGCGGAGTGCAGGCGGACACTTCGGTGGCACGTAGGGTGAGCCCTCCGAAGACCTAAGGGGCAGCTGAGAGCTCAGGTCCAAGTCCACGGGTCTGGAAAGGAAGTCTCGGGATCCCTCCGGACGCCTGTCCACAGCGTCCCCACCAGGAGCAGGGAACTCTGGGCGTTTGGGCACAGAGAAAGGAAATAGTGTTCCCCACCTTCCCATCCATCCCCACGTCCTTCTGACCCTGGGGTCCCCGGGCTCCTCTGTCATCTGTTCACCCCCAGCCCCATTCAGTCCCTGCTGCTTTTCTGGCTGGGGGGTCCCCAGCAGCTCCTTTGCCCAGCAGGGCCTGACCTGTCTCCCGTGCTAGACGGTGGCAGAGAGGATACACGGGTCATGGTCTCCCCCATGGTTGTGGATTTTTGGGTCGGACATGGAAAGGTCTTTTGACCCAATCCTCCACCTCAGAGCGGAAGCACCCTGGGTGTCCGGGCTACGGGAGACGGCGGTGCCCGTGGGCACCTGTCCCTCCCGGGCCTGGCCTGTGCTGACTATGCAGGACCGGGTACCAAAAGCTCCTAACTTGGCAAGGCCCCACGGAGCTGGCACTGAGGCTGCAGAACTGGGGACTGGGCGCCCAAGGCCACCCCTGCGGCCCAGGCCGGACCTTCCACGGGAGGAAGGCGGGCGGAGCAAGAGGCTGGAGGGCGCCCAGCCCCAAGGCTCCTGGTGTTGGCCCCGCAGGTGCCTGGCAGAAGGGGCGGGGGACGTGGCCTTCGTGAGGCACGGCACAGTGCTGGAGAACACGGACGGTGAGTGGCAGATGTGCCGTCTGAGTCTCTGGGTGCCCTCTTGCAAGTACCCTGACTACCTCTTCTCTGAGCCCCCACGGGCCAGTGAGCAGCTGGGCTGCACTCAGATTTTGTGTCTTGGTTTTGTCCATTTCCACTTGAAGATGAGAGTCTGCTTTTAAAAAAAAGTTTGCAACCAGGCGTGCTAGTGCACACCTATAACCCCAGCACTCGGGAGGCTGAGGCAGGAGGATCGTTGTGAGTTTGAGAGCAGCCTGGGCTACAAAGTGAGCTCAAGGCCAGCCTGAACTGCATAGTGAGACCCTGTCTCAAAAAGACAAATAAATAAATAAAAATAAAATAAGCTGCATGGGAACAATTTCAAAGTCCAAAGAGACACCAACTTTCTTTTAAGGCTGTAGTCATATATACAACCTGTTTTTGCTACTTTCCTATCTGTCCCTTCCCCCAAATTCCAACTTTCATTCTTGGTCCCACTGCATCATCGTTCTTTCTGTGCAGGGCTGTTTTCTGACCCGTGGGAGGGCACGTTTGCCTGCCCCGAGCCCCTAGAATATCTTAGTGTGTGTCTTCCAAAAACAAGAACACCTGCGCCTCACCCCGGTGACCACGCGTGGAAGGCACCACCGCCCCAGGACTGTTGTCTGTCTGCAGTCGCTATTCCAGGTCACTGTCACAGTTCTGTCCTTTGCAGCGCTGTTTTTCAGGCACCTGAAAAACGGCATTTAGGTGTTAGCGCTTTTTAGCACCCTTGACCTCGGAACAACTCGCGCTTTGTTTTTTTGTAAGCTTGACATTTTTGAAGTCAGTCCCGTTACTTTATAGAATGTCCCTTAAGTTGGATTTGCCTGAAGATCATTTTGTTTTTTTAATTGAAGTATCAATGATGCTCATAAAAATTTACTCTTTTTGCAGTATGGTTCCGAGTTTTGTCCAAAACATAGAGCTGTGTAATCCAAGACAGCATGGGGCGCGCCCTGCACCCCACATCCCCTCATGGGGGACACGTTCCAGTCACCCCCACCCCCACCAGCCGCCAGGCAGGCTTTGGCCTGTTGCACAATGTCTGCTCACGGCTGTTATTTTTTGAAATATTCTCCTTCGTTGTTCAACGTTGCCTTTCAAATCAGAAAGTCCACCGTGCAGTCTGAACTTCAGGGAGGCAGACATGAACCAGACTTGAGAAGGGAAACGCAGCAGCCTCCAACAAGGGTGAAGCGCCTGGCGTCGCCTCCTGGGCAGGACCGCCCAACAAAACCGGGCTGCCCAGTCACAGCCCCAAGATGGGTCAAACACAAGAGAGTTGGAAAATGGGTAGAGCATAGGTATTGGGCGTGGGTCAGCTTTTTAAAAGTTGGTGGTAATCTAAGGATGCCTAAAGAAGTAATTTTTTTTTTCTTTTGGTTTTTTAAGATAGACTCTCCCTGGGTAGTCTAGGCTGAACTTGAACTCGCTGTGTAGCCCAGGCTGGCCTCAAACTCATGGTGACTCTCCTGCCTCGGCCTTCCTAGTGCTGGGATTACAGGCGTGTGCCACCATACCTAGCTAGGAAGTAATTTTTTAAAATCTATTTTTTTGTTTTGTTTTTGTTTTCCTTCTGGTATCAGGAATCGAACTCACGACCTTGCGCTTGCCAGGCAGGTGCTGTGCCGCTGAGCTAAATCCCCAGCCCCAAGAAGTAATTTTTTAAAGGACTATATTTATACCAAAAAATTGCTAAAAGCAAAAGAATGGGACTGACCTCGGTACCCAGAGCAGTGAGGCAACAGGGCTTTGCCCCTCACAGATGAGAAATAGTGACTAATGGAAAGACCAAAGGGACACGTGTTTGTCTCCTAGGGGTGGGGGACAGAGATCTGTGCAAAGGTTTTGCCAGAGTTTAAAAAAAAAGAGAGAAGAGTTGAAGAGTGGGGGAGAGAACTGCACTGAGCAGTTGTTATGAGTCCTACGAGCTACCGTGCAGCCATTAAAAATGGCCTCTGTGGCCTTGTGTGGTGGCGCACACCTGCTATCCCAGCACTCTGGGAGGCTGAGGCAAGAGGATCATTGCAAGTTCAAGCTCAGCCTGGGAAACTTACTGACTTAGCAAGACCTCGTCAATAAATACATACAGACATACAGGCAGACATATATACACACACAGGGGCTCCGGATGTAGCTCGGTGTAAAGGCCCAGAGTTAAAAATAAAAACATGATCTTTATTTCTGTTGTTTGGGGGGAGTGTTTTTAAATAGCTTTGGAGTAAAAAGTTCTCATGATCTCACACATTATCTTTGCCTTCTGTTTCCTAGCAGCAGTCCTTCCCCCATTTTAATTTCAAAGTCATAAAAATACCATTCTGTAGGGCCATCCATGGTCCAGCTCCAGCCCTTAATAGCTGTCTTCCTAATATTCCTACTTGGTGTTGATAGTTGCACTTTCAAAATAATCTTACTTTTCTAAAGGAAACAAATGAGTTGTATGGAAAGTTTCCAATACTGTGGAAAAACATGTCAGAGACATAAATAGGAAAAGTGGGATGGAAAATTACCTGTCAACTATGTACTTAACAACATTAGAAGTAGGTAGAGAAAGAAATAAAATATAAAACAGAAGCCAGTCGCGGTGGCGCACAGCTGTCATCCCAGCACTCAGGAGGCTGAGGCAGGAGGATCACCGGGAGTCCGAGGCCAAACTGGGCTACATAGTGAGACCCTGCCTCTAAAAAAAACCAAAACAAACAAAAATAGCATCAGGCCTGGTGTGCACAGCCACCCAGTCTTGGGGCGTTGGGCTCTCACCCCTGCAATACCACGCTTCGCTCTCTGGCCCTCCAGGGAAAACCCTGCCCTCCTGGGGCAAGGCTCTGCTGTCACAGGACTTCGAGCTGCTGTGTAGGAACGGTAGACGCGCCAGCGTCACTGAGTGGCGGCGATGCCACCTGGCCCGGGTCCCCGCGCAGGCCGTGGTGGTCCGGGCCGACATGGACGGGAAACTCATCTTCCGACTGCTCGGTGAGGGCCAGGTGAGATGGCACCCACTCCTTGGAGCTTCAGGTCCCCTTGCTCACCAGGTCGGGAGCTGGGGGCGAGGACCAGACCCAGAGACTCTGCCTTGGGACCATGCGGGAGGGCGGGAAGTTCGGAGCGCCAGGCCCCTCCCCAGGCTCCTCCATTCTCAGCTCTGAGGACCTAACCCAGAGAACATGAGCACACGGGACGGCAAATGTAGCGCGTTTCAGGGAATCCCACGGCCTCACTGCTGGCCACGGCTGTGACCGCAACCCGCCCCCGACCACTGGGGTCTCACTCCTGCCTGACATCGCCTGTCCTGGCCTGGGCTCCCGGGGCTGGGCCACAGGCCTGTGCCCAAAGGGCGGGTGTGGGGAGCAGGTGGACTGCCCGGGGCCCCTCTAGAGGAGGGCCAGGGAGGAGAGGGGCAGCGCAGCTGGAGGTATGGGAAGTGGCGGTGGCGGCTGCACCAGGGAGGAAAAGCTGTGCCCGCATCACCCTCACCAGCCACCCTGGCCACCCTGCCACGCAGCTGCTGTTCAACCAGAAGGGCAGCACCTTCCAGATGTTCAGCTCGGAGAGCTACGGCCAGAAGGACCTGCTGTTCAAGGACGCCACCGTGGAGCTGGTGCCCATTGCTACTCAGACCTATGAGGCATGGCTGGGCCATGACTACCTGCATGCCATGAGGGGCCTGTTCTGTGACCCCAACCGTGAGTCCCTGCCCCTGCTCCCGCCAGACCAGGGCTCTCCGGGGAGGTGACCTGGCAGGGTGCCTCAGGGCCTCTATGGGACCCTGTCGCTTCCACTTCTCAGCCCCAGGGAACCTGGGGAGGCAGCGTGTCTGACCTTGCCAGGTGTGGAAACGCATGCCTGTAATCCTGGCACTCAGGAGGCTGAGGCAGGAGGATTGCTGTGGGTTTTAAGGCACCTTGGGCTATAGCAAGACTGCTGTCTCAAACCCACTCCAAAAACATGGGCTTCCTGTCTCCTGTCCCTCAGCCCCGTAAACCCCCTCCTGTAGCCAAGGACGTGGGGTGTCACACACTGAGACAGAAACCCTGACGCCTTGCCCAGCCCCATGAAGAGGAACCCTGACCCTCTCTGAACAAAACCCCCGCACAGAGCTACCCCACCTCCTGCGCTGGTGTGTGCTGTCCACGCCCGAGTTCCGGAAGTGTGGCGACATGGCAATGGCCTTCAACCAGCAGAAGCTCAAGCCGGAGATCCAGTGCGTGTGGGCCGACTCCCCGCTGCAGTGCATGAGGCAGATCCAGGTGCGCGGTGCGGCCCGAGGACAGGCGGGGACAGCGCAGGGTGGCGGTGTCTCCTGCGACCAGCCCAGAGAGGAAGGAAGGGCCGCCGCCGGCCGGGAGCAAACACGTGGCCTGGGCAGGCCCTTCCCTTCCCGAGCCTCAGGTTCCCCGTGCACACAGCAGGAGTGGGCTCACGTCCTTCGGGGCTTGAGTCCGGCTCATGTTTTAAGGGGATTCGATCCACGGTCACCTGGCTCCGGGGCAGGAGCTGCGTGGTGGAAGGGCCTGGCGGGGCAGAGCCGCTTAATCCATGGCGGCTGGGAAGCAGAGCCCAGAAGCGGTGCCAGGGAGGAGGCAGGGGAGCAGACACCGGCCCCAAGCCCACGCCTCTGTGACCCTCCAGACACAGCCAGGCCCTGTGGCCGCCCCCAGGCCAGTCCAGCTGGCACTGCACCCTGACCGCACTGGAGGACAGGGGGCCTGAGGCCGAGGGCTCTTTGGTTCCTGAGCCCTGGCAGCCGCCCAGGACCGGGGAGGGAGAGGCACAGCTCAGCGCACCGCAGGGGCGACCGAGGTGTCTCCGAGGCCTGGGATGGTACCCGGTGCCTCTAACACCCATTTCCAGGTGGCCTTTTGCCAGGCAGGGTCATGACCGTGGTCCCCACTCCTGTCCACCCCAGGAGCAGGGAGGAGGTCTGGGGTAGGGAGAGGAACCCAGAGATGCAGCTGGGGCTCAGAACACCGTGTGCCCCTGTCTCATGCCCCGGGGCATGGGCACCTCCTGGGGCACCGGCTCCGCGCTCCCTGGCTGTGCCCTGCTTTCCCCCAGGTTATCAGTTGCCCCTTTGTGGGGCTCTGGGCCACCTGTCCAGAGGCTTCAGAAGGGACAAGTTGGGTGCAGGTGACCTGGAGGACTTAGGGGCTGCCCTTTTTATTTTTTCTTTTGAGGCATTGTCTCCCTAAGTCATTAAGTTGCCCAGACTGGGCTTGGATTTGCGATCCTCTGCCTCAGAATGCTGGGATCGCAGGCGTGCACCCCACGGCCGAAGCGGCCGCCTGGTGAGACCCAGGCCATGGTTCCCTCTGCACACGCATCCAGCCAACGTGCATTGCACTCACACCAGGTGCCAGCCCTTGGCCGGAGGTTACCCCAGACCTCTGCGGGCCGGCAGGCCTTGGGACCCTACCCGCTGCAAGAGGCAGGCCTGGTGCTGTGCTGTGCCCGGCACGGGGATGGGAGCGCCTCTGTCTGTTACTTGCAGCCCTCCAGGCCAGGCCTGCCATAGCAGAGGAAGGGACAGATGGGCAGGACAGGTGCCACCTCCTAGGGACAGGCCCAGCCACCTCCATCGGACCCCAGTGTCTGGAAGCATCCTGGATCCTGGCCACTCTCCGTTCCCTCCAGGCTGGGCACATTGATGCGGTGACCCTGAAGGGTGAAGACATCTATAGGGCAGGGAAGATGTTCGGGCTGGTCCCAGCAGCCGGGGAGTCCTATGCCGGTAAGTGCTGCCCCAGATGGTGGCTCTGGCATCTTTATAAACAAGGAAACTTGCCCCTTCTGCCATGTGCAGAAGCTCCACCCACCCCCAGTGCCTCTGCACCTGGGCTAGTTGCCTTCTGTCACCGGAAAAGCCCCTCTGCCCTGGGCCTCAATATTCCCATCTATGCAATGAACATCTCTAAAAAGAATAATCTCAACACTTTGGAGGCTGAGGCAGGAGGATCCTGAGTTTGAGTCCAGCTTGGAAAACTTAGTGACTTAGAGAGATCCTATTTCACAATAAAAAGTCAAGAAAGGTCTGAGGATGTAGCTCAGTGCAAAGACTCACTTTAATCCGCAGTACAAAAGATAAATACAGCACAGGACAGAGACTCCCTGTGGCTTGCAAAACCTAAAACATCAACAGACACTTTACCGGAAGTTTGCCCACCCCTTGGGTCCCCTGTTAATAAATATGTATAAAAACCATTTTGCAATTCAGGCCACTGTCACGTCTGGCTCCTGGTCAGGGAACCAAAGGCGTCACACCCCTGCTCTGCCGTCTAAGAACCCACCAGGATGGATAACTCAGCCCCAGTAAAATATCAGAGGGTTGAAGCTTAACATAGGGAAAACACTTTATTTGTAAAGAGGAAAAAGGAGCAGGAGGAAAGGAGGAGGTAGACAGCCATCCTGACAGGAAAGAATCAGGTAGGGGGCTCTGGGAAGGTGGAGGACCCCGGGCCCTTCCTTCCCAGCTGCTTTTCTAGCGGGATGAGCACCCCTCCTCCCCGCCACTTGCCATCGTTGGATCGGCTTCTGGGCACCGCTGTCGAATGCCACGTTTTCTGGTGGTTCATGTGCAGCTTCTTTCTGTCTGTCCGTTTCCTTGTCCTTGCCCTACCTTCTGAGCCTTGTCTTTGGGGTGGACGGCTCGTTGGCAAGGGGGGACATTATTCATGGTTAGCTTAGAGTCAGTAAGGGATCGCATGGATATCCACTGCACTCTAGAACAGCCTCGAGTGAATAAAGAGTGACTCTAGAATAAGACGTGTATGTCAGTGCACAGGTGTGAGCACGGACCGCCCTGAAGGTATTCAGCGCCTCCACCTTTGTTTTTTTCTATATTTTATCGGGGTTGGAGGCAGCGTGTCGTTTACGCACTTGGCTTTCCCTCGGTGTCCTGGCTGTCAGCTCTTTCCCTGGCCTCTTGGAGCATAGTCCCAAGACCGCTTGCTGCTTTTTCCTGGTTTTTCTCTTTTTCTACCCCTGTCTTTGACCTGTTTCCCAGGGGACTCTCTCTAGCGAAGTTTGTTTTTGACTCCTGGTCAGGATTAGCTAGAAGACCTCATGGCCCCTATTCTGTGCTATTCTCTGCAGACCCCATCTCTGCACCATACATAAACATGGGCCGCCGCATTCTCGGGGGGCCTTGGCTTCTCCCCGACAGTGGAGGCCAAGGGAAGTGGCCTGTCACCCTCCCTTGTCAGCTCATTCACACCTCTCGGTGGCCCAAGCAGCCACCTTGGGCTCAGCTGGCCCCTTCCACTAGGCCGTGGGAGATCTCCAGGCTGAGAGAAACAGCTGCGGGCACCTGTGCCTTGAGGGAAGTGGACCTGCTGGAAGGCAGAAGGCCCAGGGCAAGGGCTGTTGGCTGGAATGGGGATTCAACTGAACAGCAGGACCACCCAGGCCGCTTCTTGGACCCTGGGGACCTGCTGGCCTTGCCCTGAGCAGCCTGGGCCTCGGGCTGGGGCCCCCCGGGGCGGGTCACCCGCGTCTCACGGTTTGGAGGGATGGCCCCAGTGTGACACCCCTGTGCCCGCAGAGAACAGTAGCATCTCGTACTATGCGGTGGCCCTGGTGAGGCGGGACAGCTCCTCGGCCTTCACCCTGAACGAGCTGCGGGGCAAGCGCTCCTGCCATTCCAGTGTGGACAGCCTTGCCGGCTGGACCGTGCCCGTGGGCGCCCTCACCCACAGGGGCTCCATCCAGCCCCGGGACTGCAACGTGATCAGAGGTACAGTCCCTGAGGGACACGGGCCTGTCCTCCTCAGTCACGCCTGTCTCTCCAGTAGAAAAAGTCTAACTTAGGCGGTAGTGAGCTCCCCACACCGAGGGTGTGCCGGCAGAGGCTGCCGGGCGTACCTCCTCCTGGCTCCCTTTCTGCTCGGTGGGTCCTGCTCCCTGCTCACAGCCTGTGCCCTCTGCCAGGGGTGAGCGAGTTCTTCAATGGCAGCTGCGTGCCCGGGAGCGAGGCCAGGAAATACCCGCCCTCGCTGTGCGCAGTCTGCGTGGGGGATGAAAAGGGCCGGAACAAGTGTGTGGCCAACAGCCAGGAGAGGTACTTCAGCGACAGCGGGGCCTTCAGGTACGAGCGTCGGGCGGGGCAGAGGGGCCTGGGGAGGCCCAGGCGGCGCCCCTCCTCCAACACCCGCGGGCCCTCCCTCCGGCGCAGGTGCCTGGTGGAAAAGGCGGGGGACGTCGCCTTCGTGAAGCACACTACCGTCTTTGACAACACGAACGGTACCTGAGGGGCTGGGGCTGTTTCCTGTCCCCAACGCAACCCAGGCCTCAGGCGCTGCTGGGTTTGGGAGCCTGAGAGACCTGAGCCTGGAAGATTCCAGACAAAGGCAGGGCTCACCCAGACACGGGACACAGGCAGGCTTTTCCCTAGGGTTACCCCAGGACCCCAGACCCAGCCCTGAGCTCCCGTCCGCTGCAGGGTCTCCGCGCTGGCCTGCTCCCAGCTGGATCCGTGGTCTGTTCAGAGGCTCCAGGCTACTCCCCAACACCTCGCGTCAGACTTCCTGCTGCCTGGCCTTGCTCTGAAACCCCACACGCTGCGGCCTCAGTGGCCTCCACTCGGTCCTCACGCGTTTCTCCCCAGAGCCTCACCCCTGGAAGGCACAGCTGTGGCCAGGGAAGGCACCGGCATCCGTCAAGGGCAAGCAAGACACAGAGTGGGAAACGTCAATATTTCAAAGCTCGGATCCTGGGCTCCGAGGATCAGATTGGCAGAGAGGCCCCCGCTCCTGGCGCTCGTCCCCCTCTATCTTTAGCTCTACTCAGAGCCCACCTGGCCCGCCTTCTGGAAGGCGGAGGGTGGATGCCGAGTGAATGCATGAAGGTGCAGAAACAGTGTGACTCCCCAGGGAAGCGTTGCTCAGGAAACCCAGGGAGCAGCCACCTGCTTCGGCAGCACTGGGCTGGCAGCCTAGCGTACAGATTCTGGCCCCCGCCCCAGGCCTGCACAGTGAGATTCTTGGCAGGCAGGGGCCCTAGGGATGCCCCTTGCACCCACAGATGTTGGCTTCCCCCCTCAGTTGGAGAAGCTCAGTGTGTAGGGATGCAATCGACCACCACCTTCCATGCCCAGGCCTGAGGGTATAACGCACAGACAAGATTCTTTGCCTGGGAAGGATTAAGAGCCTCAGTTTCCAAACCTGTAAAATGGGGTCAACAATACTCACCCTGCATTACTGTGGTGGCTGCAAAACGCTAGTCACAGAGCAGGTACTCCCCACTCCCCGCTAATCCAAGCTCCCACTCTTTTCACCCACCTGGTGTGGCTCTGACAGCTGAACAGACCCCTGGGTCTTCCCAGCAAAGGTTCTGGAGACCCCGTCCACACTTCTTCCCCGCCACACTGTCCCCAGGCCACGCTGCTGAGCCCTGGGCGGCCGAGCTGAGGCAGCAGGACTACCAGCTGCTGTGCCCCAACGGGGCACGCGCGGAGGTGCACCAGTTCCAAGCCTGCAGCCTGGCCAAGATCCCGGCCCACGCGGTCATGGTGCGGCCGGACACCAACGCCTTCAGTGTGTACGGGCTCCTGGACAAGGCGCAGGTGAGCCGGCGCAGCCGTGTCCCCCAGGCAGGGGTGGCAGTGGTGAGCCAAGCCTCCCAGGGCCCGCTGTGGACCGGAAGCAGCCTCAGAGGAAACTGAGGGTCCCCGGAGGGAGATTCTGTGCTTTCCAGCTGCCCAGGGTCCTTCCTCAGGCACTGGCCCCCTGGTCTCCCGCACCAATGTCTCCTCAGCGGGGCCGCTCCTGCCAACACACACAGACGCTGTTCTTCCCACCGTCTGTGAGAAACAAACGAACTCTCGAGGTCGCACATCCTCTTGTGACCGTAATCCCACTCCCCTTTAGCAAGGTCCCTCCAAAGCGTCGTCTCTGCCCCGGCGCCATCTCCTTGTTGTCTCCCTCAAGGACGGAGACGGCTCCAGACGGGCTTTTGTCAGTGACTCATGCAGCTAAATCCAGTGGCCGCTTCTCAGTTCTTATGTTCCTGACCGCTGGGCAGCACTGACCACAGCCGTCTCCTCCCAGGGTTCAAATCCCTTCTTGTGGCCCCAGGTGCCTGTGCCTGCCCAGCTCCCCTCCACCTCAGCCTCCACCCACGTCCCCGTGGTCTTGCTGACCAGGGAACACCCTCTTCTGTGTGCATCCACCGCCTTACTGACCTCATCCACACGCGGCAGTTCCTGTGTGTCTGTCCCCACCTCCGGCCCGAGCGTGTGTGCACCCAGTCCGCCATGTCTTGCTGGCTGCACGTCCAAGACACATCTAGAATCCAAACCTGGGATGAGCCGGGCGTGGTGGCACACACCTGTAGTCCCAGCACTCGGGAGGCTGAGGCAGGAGTATCGTCGCCAGTGTACCAGCCTGGCGTACAAAGTGAGCTCAAGGCCAGCCTGAACTGCATAGTGAGACCCTATCTCAAAGAGACACAAAAAAGAAAAAACCAAACCCGGGGTGTCTCAGGAGCCCCTGGTTTCTAACTTCTCTGGCAGTCTCCTCCTACCAGCACCTCAGATTTGCAGCGGCCCTGGCTCGCTGGGCCTGGCCCTGAAGTTTGAAATCATCTTCCCCATTGAGTACTTCTATCCCAGCCCTTCCGTTCTCCAGCCCGTGGGCTTGTCAGGGGCCCTAGGTCCTCTGAAGCGATGTGGGAGGAGTCCGTGTGGACGTGCATTTCTCTGGGGAGAAGGCTGATAGTTCTATGAGATCTTCAGGAAGTTCAGTCTGTGAGTCCCCTCCAAAAAGACTGCCGGCCACTCAGTTCTTCCCCACTCGAGGACAACCCGGGGGCTGACGCGCACTTACGCATTCCCTCCAGATGTCCTTTGTGCAGAGGTGCCCGGGGCGTCCGGTGCTGCTCGCAGTCTCTTTTTAGGTCTTCCAGAGATTCCATCCAGAGATTCCCAGCAGGGTCCGGGAGCAGCGGCGTCGTAGGAAGGGCTGAGAAGTGCGGAGCAGGCCGCGCAAAGCTCTCAGCCTCGGACCCGCACCTTCCCTGCTGCCTCTGTCTTCCTACGAGTTGCACGCTTCCGTTCTGCACCCGGAACTGGTTTGGTGCCATGTTGCAGATGACTCTTTCGGGGCAGTGTCTCTGGACATCACCCTTCGATGAGAGAGGCCCGCAGTGGCCAAGCTGTCAACCACCAATCAGGCTTGGCCGCCTGGGGTCACTTAGCTTTGGGTCCCCACCTGCAAGGCCCCGTGAAAAGCGGGGGACTTGTGCTTCCAGGAGCTGTATGGAGATGACGACAACAAGAACGGGTTCCAGATGTTCGACTCCTACAAATACCGTGGCCAAGACCTGCTTTTCCAGGACATTACGGTGCAGCTGGTGCCTGTGGCAGAGAAGAGCACCTACCTCGCGTGGCTGGGGCCTGACTACGTGAGCGCCATGGACGGGATCCTGACGCCGCCGTGCTCGGGGCCAGGTAGGGCGCGGGCTGCTGGTGGGCAGTGTGACAGCCGCGAGGTGGGGCCCGGCACATCCGCCAGCACCATGCAGAGCGTGTCACCCCGAAACCTTGCGGGAGCTGAAGGGCACAGTAGCCTTGGGAGCGCAGAGCTGAGGCCTCTGTGGCACAGATAATCAAGGTGCCGTGTCGGGGGGCTGTGCCTCCTCCCATGATAGACCTGGATACTGAGCATAAATGCTAAAAACGAGAGTCCGGGGAGGACGTGGGGCCCCACACATATGCAGGCGGTGCACTCGGAGACGAATGGGGGTGCGAACAAAGGAGGGAAAGGAACAGGGCGGAAGGCGGGCGGCAGTGGGGACCCAGGCGTCCGGCCCTGAGCGCTGCTCCCCCCACACCAGTCACTGTCCCCCGGGTTTCCCGGCTGCTTCTGCTGCTCCTCACCGCTGGCCTCGTCCTCCCGAGCACCCTCTGAGAGCAGCCCCGGCCAGCCCGCCTCCCGGGACTGCACCAGAGGCCAGGAGTAGCCCTGAGAAGGGTGATGGAGAGGACGGCGGGGCCCCCTCGCAGCCCTGCGTCCACCGAGAGGAATGCTACAGCCACGTCGCCCACGGGAGCCCGCAGCTCTGGCCCGCAGCCCAGTCACACCCCAGCTGGCTCGGCGCCCCAGCCTGCAGCCTCCCACCCACAGCCTCCTGCGCCCGTTGCTGGGGAGACGGCGGGGTGGCCTCCCACGGCCCCTCGGCTACACAGCACCTCGGGGGTGCGAACGCCACCAGCCGCAGGCTCTGCACCCCTGGCTCACTGTCCTCAGGGCCCCAGGGCCCACCTCCCTCCTGAGGACGCTGTGATAACAAAGGTCCCTACAAGGCTGCAGCCAGGTCCCAGAGGGGCGCGGTGACACCCCTCAGCCCTGGACAGTAGCGCCCAGCCAGAGCCATGTGTGAGGACACAGCCCCACAGGGACCTCTGCAAAAAGAAGTTTCTAAGCGAAGGTCTTGATGCCAGGCTGGGGACTGTGACCCTGCCTGCTGCCTAAGCCTGAATGTGGGAGGCACAGGCCTTGGGCGCCCTGCCACGTCCTCTGGGGTGCAGTTCCCCGCCTGGGCTCAGCAGATTATCTTCTCCCCCGGCCCCACGGTGGCACCCCACTGCCTCAGCCTACTCCTGGACACCGTCACCGCATGGTCTCCAGACCGAAGGAGCAGGAGACAATGGCCCAGGCCTCACCCAGAGGCCCCCCGAGAGGCTGGGCAGAGGAACCAAGGCCTGGAGACTGGGTGCTGGGGTGAAGCCCGGCTCCTTCCCCAGCCGCCCACACCTCCTGTGTCCAAAGGGAGGGTCCCCCGCCCCCCGCCCCTGCCGGGGAGAGCCAGCGCCGAGGCCTGTCCCCTGTGCATCTTGCCGTTGATCTCTGAGGAGCCAGCAAAAGTTTCCCAGAACTGCCAGCTCTTATTCTGAATTTTGCTCCCTTGAAAAAAATAAATAAAAAGAAAGAGAAGAAACAGGAACAAGCAGCCCTCGGCAGCGGGCTGGGAGCTGCGTGGGCCTGGAGCTATTTGCGTCGCAGTCTGCTGAATCCCTTTGTTTTCTTGGGTGCCCCAGGGCCTGTGCCACCCAGATCCGCACCCTCCTGCAGGTGGGCACCAGCTCTTCCCCGGGCTGCCTCCCTGGCCCCCATGGCAGTCGGCATCGCTGGCATCGCCCAGCTGCCTCTGCCCCCCAGCCTTCTGGTGCCCGCTCCTCAGGCATCTCCGCTGCCCCCACCTCATGCCTCCAAAACGGGCCATCCACGCCTCATCTTTGGCGAGCTGAGGCGCGGGAGGGGAGGAGGGCGCGGTGTCACTTCTTCATTCTCCCAAGGCTTCTGTCCTGGGGCTGCCCCATCCCCGTCACTGCAGCCCTTTGTCACAGCTGGGTTTTGTCTGCCAGGGCACACAGCCCATTTCCCCTGCTGACAGCCCCATCATCATGCAGCCAGGTGACCTCAAGGACATCCATGGCAAAAGTTGAGACCTTGTGTTTGCATCACACGGCGCTGTTGGAGTCTCCGGAGCTCTGCTGTTGCTCCTGCTTCCCACTCTGAACTTTTGGGGACAGATGGTGAACCTTTGCCAGGAAATCCTCCTGCCTCAGCCTGAGCCCTGGAGTTAGAGCCTATACCACAATGCGTGGCTGTTTGTAGAACAGAAAAAGACTGGAAACATCTGAACGCCCCTCAGTACTGAGATGGACATATAAAAGCTGACCTAAACACAAGGCGTGGTAGCCAACACCTGTAATCTCAGCACTCGGGAGGCTGAGGCAGGAGGATCGTTGCGAGTTTGAGGCCAGCCTGAGCTACAAAATCAGCTTAAGGGCAGCCTGAGCTGCAGAGCAAGACCCTGTCTCAAAAAGACAAAAAAAAAAAAAAAAAAGCTGGCCTCTACTCTCATCTCCACAACAGTCTACAGCCGTTACATGGAGGGTAGAACTATATTTACTGAGGTGGAAAGACTCCATGAAATATTGTTGAGTGAAAAGAGCAGGTTATAAAACAGCCTGTGGTCCCATTAGCATGAAACCACGCGCACACTCACACGCTCGCACTCACACACACACGCAGAGCTGTCTGGAAATCTGTTCACCAAACTGTTAGCAGTGACTCCCTCCAGTTGGTGGGATTGAGGGGTAATTTTTACTTTGTTTAAACTTTAGTTTCTGCTTCTTTCAACAGTCTATTTTGATTTTTTTCTTTTTCTTTTTTCTTTTTGGTGGTACTAGGAATCGAACTCACGACCTCACGCTTGCCAGGCAGGCGCTATGACGCTGAGCTCTATCCCTGGCCCGAACTGTCTATTTTGAATAAGGCACTTGAAGTCATTAACCATTTTCATTGTGGAATGGATAGATAAACAAGCAAACCAACAAAAAATAAAATACAGTCTGATTGCGGTGCCTGGCCGAGCAGGCTGCTTGAGGAGCCGGACTGGGAGCTCCTCAGCCCCGGGCGTGGCCCTGCCAGCAGCCTCATGACCTCTGACGACTGTCACCCTCTGGGCCTCTGCTTCTTCCGTGAGCGCCTGCCTCATGGGCTGGTTGGGGGAGCGAACACGGGGGTCCAGTGCGCACCTGGCCCTGTGGTCCCCGCAGGCCACACATCTGTCCCTACAGCCCCTTCCTCTCCCACACGACAACCGCCGTGGTCCCGAGTCCAGCGCTGCTGCAGGCTGGGGGCGGGGAGAAAGAGGCTGAGGCTGTCCGGATGCAAGCAGACTGACACCCAAGCTCAGGGTGCCAGGCACGGTCAGCCCTGGCCTGGGGGCCTGGGCCCGGGATCAGGCTGGGTGGGGCCCAGTCCTGCAGGCCCCTCTGCCCTCCATCCATAGTGGACTCTTCTGTTCCGCCCGACCCCCTCCCCGGCCCCCGGGCCGCTGTGGACCCCTGCAAATCAGCCGGTCCCATCAGTCCACCCACGCCCTCATCGCGCAGGAAGGGGGCCGCAGGAGACCGGACGCCCTGCAGAGGGGAACTTCACCATCCTGGCTCCAGACTTGAACCGAGGGCCCGGTTCCTCACCCTGGCCTAACAGCACAGGGCACGGCGGCCAGAACGCCCTGGCGCATCCCTTCTACCGACTGCATGGCCGCTTTGCCTTGTGGGCCCGAGGTCCTCGTTGCCAGCGAGTGGCCCAAGGCCTAAGTACCATCTCCGGTCGGTCCCCAGGGCCCCGGCTGGACTGCCATGAGCTCATCACCCAGAGCACAGGCCGTGACCCAGAGTCCCCTGCGGTGGGGAGACCCGGGATGCAGCTGCCGTCCCTGCAGCGTCAGCAGCCTGGCCTTGTCCGCATCAGCGCTCACTGGCCGCTGGGCGGGGGCCGCCTGGCCGTGAGGACACAGTGGCTGCCTTCGCTGAGGGCCAAGCCACGCCTCGGAGCAGCGCCTGCCCCCTCCGACGGGGCCTCCACCGCGGCCTGCCCGCCTGGCAATCTCTGCTGGGAGTGAGTCTCCAAGGACAGGGCCTCGGCCCGCCTGCCAGTGCGCTGCAAGCACCCAGCTTCGCCTACACCTGGAACCCAACAAGGAGCCTGCTGAAGGCATGAAGGATGAATGAATGAATGAACGAGTGCCTGTTAGTTTTGAATCCCAGAAGTTGACAGGGCAGCACCAGGAGTGCTGAGGAGCTATGTCCTCCCTGGCAACTCCTAGACCATGAGCCTGATAAAGAAAGGCTTACTAAATTGGGTGTGGCGGTTCATGCCTCTAACCCCACTTCCCAAGGCCGCCCGGAGGCAGGAGGATCACAAGTTTAAGGCCAGCCTGAGCAACTTCGTGAGACCCTGTCTCCACATGAAAAGGTCCAGGGATGCAGCTAAGGGCAAAGGCCTTGGGTTCAATCCCTTCTACCAGAAAAAGGAGGAGGAAGAGAAGCTGGGTGTGGTGACTCACGCTTGTGATCCCAGCACTCAAGAGGCCGAGGCAGGAGGATCTCTGTGAGTTTGAAGCCAGCCTGAACTGTCTGGTGAGACCCTTTCCACCCGCTCCAAGAAGAGGAGGAGGAAGAAGGATGACTGTTGGCATGAGGCCAGGCCAGTGTCTTTCAGGCTGAGCGCTCTTCTGGGTTTTACAGTCGCTTGCCAGGGCCGCTATAATAACACTGCAACCCGTGCAGCTGAACCAACAGCAGCTCCTCGTCTCGAGGGCCTGGGCAGAAGTCCCAGAGGCAGGCGGTGGAAGGGGGCTCCTGGCTGTGGAGCCGACTCACCACCTCTGCCTTTCTTTTCATGGGGTGCTCTGTGTGGGTGCCTGGGCCTGCTCACAATTTCTCAGCTACCCACATGGGCAGCAGCCCCAGCCCCGGTGAGCAGGGCCACCTCCTGTGCTGTGGGGCTTCGAGCTCCCACCCCTGGGTCCTGGGGCTCCGCCCGGAGCCCATCACAGCTTGCGACTGCTCCAACACTTCCCCAAGGGCCCACACACCAGGGGGACAGCGGCGGCACCAGCGACGGTGTCAGGCTGAGAACTGACCCAGAGAAGGCGCCACGTTCAGTTCTGGAGCGCAGCCCCCACCCAGGTGTGCCCCCACCTCCGCCTTCATTATGCAGGTAGACAGATGTGGCCCAGCTGCACTGCCCCAAGCCCGCCCTGCTGCCAGCTGGGCCACCTGTGGGCAGGGGTCGCCGTCCCCAGACCCAGTGCAGGGCTTCGGGCCTCAGCCCCTTCCCTGTCCCCACTGGCCGCACTGGGTCCCCTCTGCAGCTCCAGCTCCCTGCACCACCGGCTGCTCCCAGAGCCCCGCCTGCATCTCCCCAGCTGGAAAGACAGCCAAGGGGCAGCGCCTCCCAAGGATGCTGCGGCCCTTGCTCCCCTCCCTCCCGGCCCCCAGGGGTGCCATTAGACCCACACGCATCTCTAGGGCTGGGAGGAAGGCGCTGAGGATGGAGGGGCAGTGGGGTCTGAACCCTGGCCCCAACACATGGCAGAGGCAAATCTCACCAAGGCTACACAGAGAAGCCAGTGTCCGCCCCAGGGCTGGCTGGGTCACCTGCCGCAGCCTCCAAGCCCCCTGGGGCAAAGTCCAGGTGCAATCGTGCTTATCTGTGCCACTGCCCTCTCAGGGCCCTGGTCCTGGTCGGGAGGCCCTGGGGCAGGGGCCTGGTCAGCCCCACAGGGGGCTCAGGCTGATAAGCAAGTGCTGGCCCCGCAGACCCGGAGTTTATCTTGAAGAGGGAGGGATTCCGCACACAGCTTTTCCTGGGCTGCTGCTCCTGAGCCCTGACGTGGCGTGAGGCCCCTTCCCCCTCTTGCTGGGTTCTAAGAGCCAGAGCCCTTCTGCCTGCAGAGCTGCCCTGCCTCAGCCTCCTGGCCCAGGCTTGCTGGTCCCATAGCACAGCTGGATGTGGCTAAGGAGAAGTGACTTGCTAGGCCGAACAGGGCCACCTATCCCCGCTGCTAAGGTCCAGAGCATGTTTGGTTTAACTGACTCTACTGTCCCTTCAGTAGGGACGCCATCGCCGTGCGAGCGGTGGGCAAGAAGCCACCTGTATGTGACGGCCATGTGTGCCCGAGCGGAAGTGAGCACAGCCCAAGCTCCAGACCCTTCCTCCCGCAGGACAGAGGAGCTGGACCCGCGCGGCAGGACAGGCGGACAGGAGGCGGCGTCCTCCCCTGAGGAGCCTGCGCTCTTCCCTTTTCTGTTTCTGTCGGAGGCTAAAGAATCCCGGCCCACCCCGTGCTGGGACCTCACAGGCCAGGCAGGGGCTCTGTTGCTGAGTCTGCCGCACGCACGCACGCACGCACGCACGTCCAGCCTCCCCGCTTCCCGCTGCAGCTACTGTTTCTCCAGCGACCACACTGTGTCACCGGGTGGCCGTGGTTCTGTGCCTCTGCACCGCGGTCTCCTCTTAGGCAACGAGACTTTGGGTTTATGGTGGTAAAAGGCACATCAGAGCTCGCCACTGTAAATGCACGTTCTATAGCACATAGGGCACGAACCTCATGCAGCCGTCGCGACTATCATCTCCAGAACT